CAGACGAAGTCCACTGCCGCATCTGTGCCCCAGTGCCAAAGTTCTACAAAAGACACGGGGACCTCAGCAAACATTTGACACGCTACCATCTGTCCCGTCTGGTATTCCGGTGTCGGCACTGCAATGAGATCTTCGAAACACTAAAAGGGTGCACAACAATCGGTATCCGCCCTCACGGGCTGTGATGGCGTGGAGAATTGGTTCAATTGCCAGATTGAATATTATTGGTGACAGTGGGCATCCCTGCTTTACTCCAGATTTGATGTGGATGGCGGGTGTTGGACCAGTGCTGCTCCTGATCGACGTTGTGTTGTTCTCGTATATTCGTCGGATAACGTCTATCGAGTTGTCGCTCAGGCCGGACCATCCCAGTGACTGGAAGATCGTCTCGTGGGGTATTGATCCGAAGGCGTTGGCAAGATCGAGCCAAGCCACGCAGCACTGTCTTCGGCTCCTTCTTGCGTCGGCGATTATCGATTGCAGGACGAAGTTGTGCTCCGCGCATCCATCCATCTGCAGGAATCCCTTCTGGCTTTCGCCCAGTCTGTTATTTCTTGCTGCCCAAGCGCTCAGCCTTTCAGCCAGTACTGATGTGTGGATTTTGGCTATTGTGTCTGATAGCGAAATGGGTCGCCAGTTTGTTACATCCTCACGACTACCCTTCTTGTGGATTAGGATAGTGAGTGAGGTTGTCCATGCCTTTGGGGTGTACTTTAGGCGCCTGGCACAGTTCAGGACTGCTGCGATGATATGGGCTCCCACATCAAACTTCCTCCAGTTGGAGTATCGCACGCCGTCGGGCCCGGGCGCAGTGTTGCTGCAGCGGATTGTCCGTTTCCACACCTCAGCAGGCGTAAATTCTGCTTCGAGTGGGTCACGGTCGCTTATGTTGAGTACGGGCGGCATTGTTGGTGTCAGCTGCGTGCCGAGGCTAAACACCCGCGTGAAGTGAGCGTGATGGTCGTTGCTCGGAATGCGGCAGAACGGTGAGTCATCATCAGTAATCTCCCGGAAAGCACGTTGGCGGCTTTTGCGGTAGAGCTTCTGGATTCTTGAGGCATCTTGGGCGTTGCAGTTGTTCCCTTTTGGTTGGTTCGGGTTGTTTTGTTGTGCCGTGCCCTGTCTTCTTGGATATTGGGAATGTTGAGGACGCTCGCTTGGTTTTACTTCTTTTATGAGCTCCTGAAAATTGTCTTCAAAATCGGTGGAGTCTTTTACCTGTATGAATTTTTCAATCCAGAAGCATTGTTTGGTGGTTGGTTGTGCTTCCGGGGGGCTGTCGTTCTGCGTGGTTGGTGCCAGATTTGTTTGGTGGATTGGCAGTGGTGCTGGTGGCTCATCAGGTGTGGGAACTGGTGTTTGGGGCTCTTGTGGTGGTCCAGGTGTTTCTTTCTCCGGTGTTGTTGGCGCAGTTTGGGGTGGTGGTGTTCTATTTGGAGTTATCCGCCTTCTGGTGGCTTTACGTTGCTTCACTGGCAAGCAGGTCGCTTGTGGTGTGCCGGCCGTGTCGAGATCGCGGTTCGTGTGTAGGCCAGTCATTGATGGGGGATGGCGGGTTGGTGGTGGAGTTGCCGATGTTGAGGCAGTGGTGGGTGGAGCTATTGGTGTAGCTACCTTTGTGTTTTTGGGCATCCGGCTTTGCTTAACCTGGATGGCTCCTTTGGTTGTTGGTGGCAACGGTGGTGGTGGTGGCGAGTCCAGGCCGGGCGTGGCACTGCAGTTAATCTGGTGTGCCTTGCACCCTTTTAGTGTTTGGAAGCTCTCATTGCAGTGCCGACACCGGAATACCAGACGGGACAGATGGTAGCGTCTCAAGTGTTTGCTGAGGTCCCCGTGCCTTTTGTAGAACTTTGGCACTGGGGCACAGATGCGGCAGTGGACTTCGTCTGCTATTGGGACGTCCAGGGGGTAGCTGGTGAGCGTTTCCTCCATTCTTCTTCTTGTTGGTCCGGAAGATTTGATCACGCAGCGTGTTTAAGGCATACTAGGGGAGGCGGGTCGTGTAGTGGTCCTTCGGCCATGATTTTCGGGAGTCGAATGCATTTCTACCGTAGGAAGAGACGAGGTCTCCATATACGTCGTCCATGCAAAATACCTCGTTCCTGCGCTGGAAGACCTGCTTTGTCAGCTGCAGTAGTTTTTCAGCGTCGCTAGGGAGCCCAGCGGTGCCGAGCTGGATCCGATCGTGGGCCTCCGGAAATGGATAGTTTATGGAGGCTCCTCTTGGGTGTGTGGTACGGGTTATTAGCCGTAGAGCGGCCATTAGGTTTTTGAAGTCCTCCAGGCGGGTGAGCTGCATGGACGACTCTATTCCATCGTACAAGTTTTTGGTGGGTGTGATGGGCCTGGATTCTGGCTCGGGGCTGGTTGGCTGTTCTTCTTTTGTGTGCCCTTCTGTCTTCCGTGTTGCGCTCGTTGATTGTTCTGGTGTTGTTGAGCAGCAGTTTAGTCCCTTAAGCAGGTTTATAAGGGTAGCGAGCCTTATTTTTCTGCGACT